GCTGAATTTTTTTTTTAAGTACGCACGTGTTTTACTACTCTGCTTTTTTACACGTGGGAGTATCAACCAGGGACTTTATTTCCCACTAAATAGTTTTCCAGACCACTTTGCTAGGCTGGCTTTGATTAATGAATTATCGGCATAAGGTACTATACCACTATAGGGTACAAGCTACGTCTATCAACTATGGCCATTTAATAATTGTACCCTCGATTCCCACAATCCTATGAACAGGTTTGTGACACCTGTCGATGCAGTATCTTGATGACAAAATAATACCAGTGATGGATGTGGCGTGCCAACAATAATTACCGGAACGCTGCTCAGGATTGTTCCAGCTGAATCCAAAAGAGGGTTTTTTTGGTAAGATCACGTAAATATAAATGTGTGTCGTTCAACCCGCCACCACCCGACGCAGCCAATTATAGAACGCGCCAATTCTTTACTACTTCAGCACACCGGTGTGTTGGAGAGTAAACCCACAATATTTGCGACGTTTCACCGGTAATTACAACCTTACAACCAGCCTCATCAGGCGACAGCCAGAATTGAAATTAATGACCGAGTAGATTTTATTGTCAACTACACGGTGGGGGGCGGGGGGAAGGGACCCGTTTAGCCAGTTACCCAGCTACATTCAGTGGCGACGGCCTGCAAGAATCAGAGCTTCCTGGCAGTCTTCCAGCAGACAGTCAAAAAGCTCGAGGATGATTATTTTATAATAGTACATGTGTGAGTTCAAATAATACATTTAAAATATGCGGTTTACGTATTTCTCTGATGCCCTTGTGCCAAACCATGTATCCGTCTCTTTTGACTGCCAATCCATTACCAGCCAACCTTTCTAAAGGCATGCTCTGCCCAAGTCCACTCGCTTACTGATGGTTTATGTTCGTTAAGGAGCATAAACCACCATCAGGCGAACTCCCCCGGTCATCGCAGCAGCAGCAGCGGCTTCTGGCTAACATCGCGCGCTTTCAGATGCGCTTCTGGGGCCGTCTGGAACGCTCTTCCTCCCCGATATTAGAAAGCTACTGGAGCTACGCACTTTTAAATCACCCCGATTGAAAACTCATTTTTTTTTAACTGCTTTGTGTGTAGTAGTTTGTTGTCCTTCCCCCGCACCTCCGATGAGCACGGTTGGCTACGTACGGTGCGAAAGAAGTTCAACATACATAAACACATGCTGTTAAAACCTGCGCATGTGCTCTGATCCACGTTCATCTTCCTATCTCTCTTTGTCGCTAATGAACGTGACGTGCACAACCGGAATGCGGAAGGTGGCTGTTTGTTGTGTTTGTTGTGTACAGGGTGCTACACGTGTCTTGTGACTCCCAATTAATTGACCTCTAACATTGTTTTCCCTCTGCATATTTATTTGTTTTTTAAATAAACCTTACTTTTACAAAAAAATATGATGTTTTAATTGACCATACCGCAATTAGGATTGTCACATTTACAATGACCATAAAACAGGTTACTGTAGTCATGAACGAAAAATATAATTTCAAATCAAGTGCAATTCATTGTCAAATGTTCATGTTACTCTTTCAAGGTGCAGTATTCTTGTATAATGCTAACCATTGGGTCATCCAGCCTCCTATTTATTGAAAATACGAGCCTGAAGCTCTGAACTTTGTACCAGGACACAAACGTGTCAATCACCGGTCATGGGCCACCCAATAATATGATGCCTTTGTCAGTTTCTTTTCAATTATTTCACATTGGTTTAAGGGATTTTTGCCAAGGTTATTTTTGCATAGGTCTGGCAAAATATAATAGGTTTTGTAAAATGTCCAATGTTTTCTCTTTTGCAGCATGGACGGTTCAAGATACACGTCAAAGTTTAAAGAGAGAGAATAATTGTACTCTTTTTCAGCGGGGACGTTATCAACCACTTAATTGGTGTTTGTTATACACGTGGGGAGAAACCCCAGCACCCAGAGAACACCCACGCGGGAGAGGGAGCAACGCTCTGTCGCCGCACAGATGGAAACAGATGGCGATTCACCCACTCTCTGTCCCGCCTTCTCCTGGCGGGCCAGGGGTACGGCGTCTCCTCGACGCCCACGGGCGAGGGAGTTGCACAACATCTGTGTGTGCTCCACCAACCCCGGTCGCCACAGTTGCTGGGTTCCAGGCAACGTGCGTAGCCAACATTTGCCCGATATTGATTAAGGTGCTCCACATTTCCTGTACTTATCGTTTTGACATTGTAAGGTCCCCCGTGTAGCCCTACAAGACTGTTGGGGCAAGTGCTGTTAGCGAGCACTTACGAAGGCAGGAACGGCACACGAGGGGGTGGGTGGCCAGCACCACGCCCGGCCGCCTTTGTTTCCCCGGTGGCGATGTTTACACATCGTACCAGGTACTCATTTGAGGCTGAGTCAATCTAGGGGAGGCCCAGGACCGATTCAGATAATCGTCACTGTTTCTGGCCGTGAGCGGGAATCGAACTCGGATCGCCGGGGATCGTAGCGCAGCGCGCTAAGCACTACACTACCGCTCCCCACAAATACACACACACACCTTACACACCGTACACACACACCTTACACACACACACCTTACACACACACCGTACACACACACCTTACACACACACACACACCTTACACACACCTTACACACACACCTTACACACACACCTTACACACACACACCTTACACACACACCTTACACACACACCTTACACTCACCTTACACACACACCTTACACACACACCTTATACACACACACCTTATACACACACACCGTACACACACACCTTACACACACACCTTACACACACACCTTACACACACACACCTTACACACACACCGTACACACACACCGTTCAAACACAGACACACCTTACACACACACCTTACACACACACCTTACACACACACCTTACACACACCTTACACACACACCTTACACACACACCTTACACACACACACACACCGTACACACACACATCGTACCCACACACACGCACACACCTTACACACACACCGTACAAACACACATCTTACACACACACACCTTACACACACACCTTACACACACCTTACACACACACCTTACACACACACCTTACACACACACACCTTACACACACACCTTACACACACACCTTACACACCTTACACACACACCGTACACACATACACCTTACACACCTTACACACACCTTACACACACACACCTTACACACACACACCTTACACACACACCTTACACACACACACACCTTACACACACACCTTACACACACACACCTTACACACACACCGTACACACACACACCTTACACACACCTTACACACACACACCTTACACACACACCTTACACACACACACCTTACACACACACCTTACACACACACGCCTTACACACACACCGTACAATAAAAACGTTATCTCCTCGACTGTACAGCGCCGGGGGGATGTTGTCGCGGTGGTTGTAAATAGCAATCAGGGGTTCTCGTGAAAGAATTCTGAAATCCCACCTCACCACCCGCTTCAGCATCATATACATGGGCACAACCAGAGTATGACAAAATAAGACTCGGTTTGACCCTTTCTGGCAGTGAAACAGGAGACGCTCAGATGTTCAAACACCAAATAAAAACATCTTGCAAGGAATCAAGCCTGCATTAACCACACGTACCTGTGGTGAACATGCAAAAAAACAAACTCTCATCTATGCATTGTCTTTGATTGGCCTACACCAGAGAAAGCAACCTTCTTCATGGCATAATCTCACCAGTGTCAGACCAGAGAATGCCAAAATGCGAACAGTACAAGGGCAATGCCACGCGTGTCAGAGCATTGAGAGCTCGTGGCGAGCAGCTATATCGTGGGATACCTTCTTGCCAGTGTCAAAGTATGAAAAAATAAAAATAGGTTACAAAATGTTCCTATTTTGTGTTTGAACATCTGAACGCCTGTTTTATTGGCAGAAAGGGTAAAACCTGTTCCGATTTTTTGCATATTTTGATACTGACAAAAAGGTCCCATTGTGGACAACCACCGCCTTTAAACTTCGTACTCGAGTTGTAAAGCGTTGTGGGGTGAACTATTCCTGCACACCGGGCCGTGGTGCTGCAGCCGAACACAAATCGGCACGCTTTGTTGACGTGACACACATTACTAATTGGCTGTGTCGGGTGGCGGCGGGTTTAACGACACATTCATATTTACGCGATCTAACCCAGTTTTTGTTTTAATACGTTGATTACCCCCCCCCCCCGCGCCACCCCCCATTGAGTGCCGTAGGTAACTGTAGGTAGCCTTACTCCCACTTCCCTCTAATTAGCTGAGCCGGGTGAGTTCGGTGCTGGGTTGGAGCCTCGCGTGGGGTGGAAGAGACGCGGTCTGGTTGGGTGGTTGGGTGGGTCGCGGTGTGAGTGAGTGGGTGAGACGCGGTGTGCTTGGGTGGGTGAGTGAGACGCGGTGTGCTTGGGTGAGACGCGGTGTGGTTGGGTGGGTGGGTGAGACGCGGTGTGGTTGGGTGGGTGGGTGAGACGCGGTGTGGTTGGGTGGGTGGGTGAGACGCGGTGTGGTTGGGTGGGTGGGTGAGACGCGGTGTGGTTGGGTGGGTGGGTGAGACGCGGTGTGGTTGGGTGGGTGGGTGGGTCGCGGTGTGGTTGAGTGGGTGGGTAAGACGCGGTGTGGTTGAGTGGTTGGCGGTATGAGTGAGTGGGTGAGACGCGGTCTGGTTGGGTGGTTGGGTGGGTCGCGGTGTGAGTGAATGGGTGAGACGCGGTGTGGTTGAGTGGGTGGGTGAGACGCGGTGTGGGTGAGTGGGTGGGTGAGTGGGTGGGTGAGACGCGGTGTGACTGAGTGGGTGGGTGGGTGAGACGCGGTGTGGTTAAGTGGGTGGGTGAGACGCGGTGTGGTTGGGTGGGTGGGTGAGACACGGTGTGGTTGAGTGGGTGGGTGAGACACGGTGTGACTGAGTGGGTGGGTGGGTGAGACGCGGTGTGGGTGGGTGGGTAGGTAGGGGGAAGTGCTTGAGTTTAATGGACTCCCAGGCACCTTACCAACCCCCGGCGCGTCTTTTCACCTGCAGCTGCCACGCCGAGTTTGGTTCTCACCCCGCGGCATGGGGGACCAGGTGTGACCACGAGTCTCCCTCCGAGCTATTGAGAACCGCAAGGTGCCACAGCAGCAATGGACAAAAGTAATCCGATAAATCAGGTAAGGCGTTCAGCCTGTGACATCTTTGTGTGTGTGTGTGCGCGCTTTACACATTTGTGCAACGGGTTCATTGACGTGTGTGGATCGTATAGTGAACCACTGTACGTATGAACGTATGTTGAACTTCTTTCGCACCGTACGTAGCGGGGGAAGGACAACAAACTGCAGTTGTGTTACAAGGAACAGCAAAGCCACGCTAACTCGCGCTCCTCGAGTCGCCTCGTCTCGGCGGGCAACAGCTCTCGACACTGGGCATTTGGCTCCTGAACACAAAGATAGAACAGAATGGACTTGTACACGTCTGCTTACAAGCGAATATTCGTTTGTTCAAGCTTGAGAGCGGATGTGCCAAAGCGGATGATGCACCCTCCAGCGAGTTACACGTGGGTTGTTTGCTCATCTACATTGGTGGCCATTGGTGGTGGAAATTCCACATTCCTATGGAATGAGCCAGTCGCCCCGTTGTGCATTGAGGAGGCCTCTGTGGAGTATGAGCAGCCTGCTGCTGCCTGCTGCTGCCTGCTGCTGCCTGCTGCTGCCTGCTGCTGCCTGCTGCTGCCTGCTGCTGCCTGCTGCTGCCTGCTGCTGCCTGCTGCTGCCTGCTGCTGCCTGCTGCTGCCTGCTGCTGCCTGCTGCTGCCTGCTGCTGCCTGCTGCTGCCTGCTGCTGCCTGCTGCTGCCTGCTGCTGCCTGCTGCTGCCTGCTGCTGCCTGCTGAGCAGTTGGAGGCAGTCGCCCTCCAGCAGCAACGGAGGGCGGAGGAGCGACGCCGCTCACAACAACGAGCGGAGCGCCGGGCAGATAAAATACAGCGAGTTGGCACCGTACGGGGTACAGCTGGTGTGCGTATATTGGTCATCTCAGTCCGCCAACCCATGGAACTTGCTGGGTCTGTCCCTAGACCTCATGGCAGCGAGCCTTCGACACTTCACGTGAAAGCCTCAAAGTGCACCTGGCCTGGCACCAGCGCCATGGTGGCATCACCGTCATGGTGGCATCACCGTCACTTAGTGGCGAATGGCGATGGTATTGGTGGTATTTGTGGTGGTGGTATTGGTGGTATTGGTAGTATTGGTATTATTGGTATTGGTGGAGCGGTTAGCGCTATGCTGCGCTACGAATTCTCGCTCACGGCCAACACCAGTGACGATTATCTGAACCGGTCATGGGCCTCCCCTAGGTCCACTCAACCTCAAATGAGTACCTGTTGCGGTGTGTAAACATCGCCACTCAAGAGACAAAGGCGGCCGGGCGTGGTGTTGGCCACCCACCCCCTCGTGTGCCGTGCCGGCCTTCATAGGTGGCTCGCCGACAGCACTTGCCCCAAGTCTGTCAGAGAGGCCATACGGGGCAGAGGCCACCTTTGTCTTTGCTAATCGATGAGTCCATTTGTCGCGGTGACAACTGGGACACCCGCGACAAAGGAGCTTCATGGCTCATCGGATTCCTCCGGCGTTGAATAAATACTCTGACGAACAGTGAGAGATCGGTCGCGCAAAACTCCTCCAGACCGAAGCGAATAGAAACCCAGGGGGGGGGGGGAGGGGGCATTTAATTGAGACGTGGGGGAGAGGTGACCTTTGAGCTCAGCTTAATAATTAACTGGTGACGAACGCTCAGGCCCCTTGACAAGGAATAACTTAAGCACTGTACACCCACCCTTGAGCTTTGTAAAGGTCGCTTCGCAGTCACCGTGCCGAAGTCGTTTGAGATGTGGGGGGGGGGGGAGGGGGGGTTTCCTAGTTAGGGGGTCGGGGCAACCTGCGGCTCGTTCGGAGCCGCATTGCGGGTGGCTCGGAGCCGCATTGCGGGTGGCTCTCTGGCTGCTCAGTCCCAAGCGGCTCTCTGGCTGCTCAGTCCCAAGCGGCTCTCTGGCTGCTCAGTCCCAAGCGGCTCTCTGGCTGCTCACTCACAAGCGGCTCTCTGTCTGCTCAGTCCCAAGCGGCTCTCTGGCTGCTCAGTCCCAAGCGGCTCTCTGTCTGCTCACTCACAAGCGGCTCTCTGTCTGCTCAGTCCCAAGCGGCTCTCTGGCTGCTCAGTCCCAAGCGGCTCTCTGTCTGCTCACTCACAAGCGGCTCTCTGTCTGCTCAGTCCCAAGCGGCTCTCTGGCTGCTCAGTCCCAAGCGGCTCTCTGTCTGCTCACTCACAAGCGGCTCTCTGTCTGCTCAGTCCCAAGCAGCTCTCTGGCTGCTCAGTCCCAAGCGGCTCTCTGTCTGCTCAGTCCCAAGCAGCTCTCTGGCTGCTCAGTCCCAAGCGGCTCTCTGGCTGCTCAGTCCCAAGCGGCTCTCTGTCTGCTCACTCACAAGCGGCTCTCTGTCTGCTCAGTCCCAAGCAGCTCTCTGGCTGCTCAGTCCCAAGCGGCTCTCTGTCTGCTCAGTCCCAAGCAGCTCTCTGGCTGCTCAGTCCCAAGCGGCTCTCTGGCTGCTCAGTCCCAAGCGGCTCTCTGTCTGCTCAGTCCCAAGCGGCTCTCTGTCTGCTCAGTCCCAAGCGGCTCTCTGGCTGCTCAGTCCCAAGCGGCTCTCTGGCTGCTCGCTCCCAAGCGGCTCTCTGTCTGCTCAGTCCCAAGCGGCTCTCTGTCTGCTCAGTCCCAAGCGGCTCTCTGGCTGCTCACTCCCAAGCGGCTCTCTGTCTGCTCAGTCCCAAGCGGCTCTCTGTCTGCTCAGTCCCAAGCGGCTCTCTGGCTGCTCAGTCCCCAGCGGCTCTCTGGCTGCTCACTCCCAAGCGGCTCTCTGGCTGCTCAGTCCCAAGCGGCTCTCTGGCTGCTCACTCCCAAGCGGCTCTCTGGCTGCTCACTCCCAAGCAGCTCTCTGGCTGCTCAGTCCCAAGCGGCTCTCTGGCTGCTCACTCTCAAGCGGCTCTCTGGCTGCTCGCTCCCAAGCGGCTCTTTGGCCGCGCCCTTTCGGGGACGCCGTTTTAGAAAAAATAAATAAAACCCCTTAAATCTTCAACATAATTTAACTCAAATGATAATGATCAAGTGTTAAATGTGGCAGGCAATGGGCCACTGTGGCATGTCTCGGTTGGTAACAAAAATGTACAGCAACCAAACTGTATTGTTAAAGAATAACTCGGGGGTGAACACAAACGAACTAGATGCAGTTTATTCCATCACCGATCTTGTTTATATAAGTCAGAATGTGTTGTTGTTGTTGTTGTCGTCTGCTGTATACCCGCTGCTGTGTCTCTGTGTACAAGTAGCTCCGCGTGTGATGTGGCTCTCGGTGAACTGTTCTGGTCAAAGACAAAACAACGACGCCTCTTGCAAGGCTCCGCAGGGCCACTGGCAGACCCTGGTGGCCCTCAGTGCGGCCCCTGAAGTGAGGCCTCCACCCACCCCCGACACAATACACAGAGAGTGAAAACATCACCACCTCATCATCATCATCATCATCGTGCTGCTGCTGTCAAACCCCAGCAATGGTTTCAAATGCGTGGTGGCCCTCACACTGATGTGATGTCTTATCGGTACAAGTGGCCACCACCGCTAAAAAATAGTGAAAAACACTGCTCTAGTTATACATTAGTGAAGATCACTGCTCTAGTTATACATTAGTGAAGATCACTGCTCTAGTTATACATTATTGAAGATCACTGCTCTAGTTATAAATTAGTGAAGATCACTGCTCTAGTTATACATTATTGAAGATCACTGCTCTAGTTATACATTAGTGAAGATCACTGCTCTAGTTATACATTATTGAAGATCACTGCTCTAGTTATAAATTAGTGAAGATCACTGCTCTAGTTATAAATTAGTGAAGATCACTGCTCTAGTTATAAATTAGTGAAGATCACTGCTCTAGCTATACATTAGTGAAGAACACTGCTCTAGTTATAAATTAGTGAAGATCACTGCTCAGTTATAAATTAGTGAAGATCACTGCTCTAGTTATAAATTAGTGAAGATCACTGCTCTAGTTATAAATTAGTGAAGATCACTGCTCTAAATTTTGATTTAAAGCTTCGTGACTGCAGTAATTCATATTCTTAGTTTTTTCGGTAAAGTCACGTTGAAGAGAAACAACAAAATAACAAAATATATATAAAACAATAAAAAATTCTCACGACGTTTCGACCATAACTCAAACGGTCATCATCAGGTGTGTCGGTTTGCATAAATGTATTTTGAAAACGGCATATTTATATATTTATTTATTTATTTATATATATATATATATATATAAAAATAACGTTTGCGTCACGCGCAACGATTGGCAGTTTGCCCAGGACTAGTCCATCTATTTTTTGAAAAGAGGAGGGGGGAGACGAAATTTGTTTTTATGTATGCTGTCTGAAAGCCACTGTAAGCGTGAACAATCAATCAAGAACTGAAATGATTTATCAAATCTTTCCAATGATTGCTAAGATAGAATCCATCTTCTCGGTTGAAATTGTCTCTGTGCTTGTATATGTGGATAGCCTCATGAACGAATCTCTCATGGAAGCCAGATGGCTTACAAAGAACCTCCGTCTTGGAAAAGTCAATGGCATGTGAGCCTACTGAATTAGAACAATGATCTGCTACGGCCGAGGTGTTGGTCCTACCGTGTTTAAGGTCTGCTTTATGTTCACGAATGCGGTCCGAGATATGGCGTTTGGTTTCTCCAATGTAACTACTACCACAGAGGCAACTTAGTTTGTAGACACCAGGGTATTGTATGTCCGGAATCACATCTTTTACAGACGGAACCAGATCACGGATTTTATGTAATGTGTTGAAACGGACCTGGATCTTGTGTTTATTCAAGATTTTGGAGATCTTTTTTGTGATCCCAGCAATGTAGGGTAAAGTGATGGTTTTGAAAGGCTCCTCAAGAGGGTTCTTCTTCATGGTTTGAGTGATAGCTTTGCGGATTGTATAGTCGGAGTAACCATTAGCCCTAAGAGCTTGGTGTACGTGCTTGAGTTCACTGCTTATGTGTTCCTGGTCGGATATGCATTGGGCTATATGATACAGAGTCTTGATGAGAGAATTCTTCTGTGATGGATGGTGGTGGGAATC